AAAAAAAATCAGAGATGACAAAGGTGCTCAATCTTTCCCTCGGGACGTCTGTCATGTGAAATTTGTGAATTTCCATAGTTCTTTCACGAAATGAAGATGAATCTGTTCATTAAAAATTTCGAACCCGCATACGGTAATTCAGTATTTGTTTCGAAGTAGGGGCACAATGCCTTATCAATGCTGATTTTATCATCAACAGTGAAGACAAAGATCCAAAGATGGTTGCTTTGGCAAATATGTATTTAATTCTTGTGCCCTTGAATAGCAGGGACTCAAGAAATACCGTAATCTACCAAAACCCATCCTATTATCTGAGCTGCAAGGTATATCACTGCAAAAAAAAATTACCATACCTCTTGTTGGTTCTGTTCGATGATTAGATCGGTGCCCTTGAGATCGACTTCTCGTACACGTCCACAGTTTTCATTAACAATGTTCGAATAATCCTTTTTCTCTGAAAAACACAATTTGAACCTCAAAATGGTTTGTTCGAACAAATATGGCCATGGTAAGTTATATATTTGAGTAGCAATTCGAAACTTTTTACCGCTCTTCTGCTTGAAAATTAATAGCTCCAAGCGAAAATTAGAGGCATCGGTAAGCTGGGGATCTATAGAAGCTCCGGTGTAATCGAAACTACATGAGTTCCCCCCTATAGTATCCAGCACCCACGGTTCATTCTATAGAGTCTTGGAGCGGAGCTTGCTGTCACAGAAACACCCCTCAGTTACGCTCAATTCCCCTTCAAAACGGTGTCAACAGGCGAGCAAGGGATCTACGGTACAGTGCCCATCGAACTTCACTGTAAGCCTCTCTTGTGATCCAAGGATCGTCCTGTGATCAATCTCTACCCACTACTTAAGTACAATACATTTCGCAAACAATTTTACACCCAGTACAAGATCTTACGTCCCCCTAATATTGACCTTCGAAAAACAAAAACAAGACGATCAGAAAAACAATCTTCTACCTTCTGCTGATTCCTGAATACGTGGTGGCCCAGTAAGAATATGCCACCATCTCCAAGCGGGTGGTTCGAATACGACTGGTGGACGACACCGTCGGCAGCCGGTACATGCCTCCTCGTACTGAAGTTTCGCTTCCATATCCGTGGGTGAACGCTAGAAGATGAAAACGTCTTAATATAAGGCACGAGTGGAACAAAAGTTTCTTTTGACGTCGGAGTACGGGAAGCAATAAATTACGGTATTAAACATAAGGGACATGAAGCATTGGAAACATTAAGAATGCATGTTTAAAAATAATGTATGAGCTTTATAACTGGAAGATAGATGCACCGCACGTTAACACGCGCCGCGATGTACTGAGACTAGAACGGTGCTGCACGTGCAGGCGACATAAATACCTTCCCAGCTGGACATTACACAGTGATAAGGCGAATCAATCGCGAATCACAGCTGTGTTGACGAAAACGACCTTTACGACCGAACATCACATGCTAAGCTGATTGGAACTTTCTGGTGACACTGCACCTTTGTCTTGAAGAACAAAAATAAATTTTCTAGAATAGAAAGAAGTTTTTTACTTACCTTGAGCATTTCCCAGAAATAGGCCCAACGTCGTTTCATCGCTCCAAAGTACCACAGTTTACGTCTACGTTCCTCGATATGACGGAACCAACCTGCCCCCACATCACCGATGCCGTAAAGTGGTTCCGCGGCTGACTCATCTCCTTCCTGAAGCCGTTCCTTCTATATAGACGAATATACAGAAAGCTGTGACTCACCAAAACGAACTCGAAGGCTGCAACTTTTCGACTTTGTCCTTCTATCAAAGCCATCGCACTTTCACACATTCTACGAACATCTTTCGTTGACTCTGAAACTTAACTGTGGTTATTAACAAGCAAGAAATGAAGATGATATGACACGAAAGCCGTTAGGAAGGCGAGGCAAGCGGAGTCTCGTTAGAGTAAAGGATAAGAGCATGGGGCTCAGTTGCACAAAAACTGGTTCGAGTCCCGTCCGGGGCCGAAGTTTTGTCCATAACTCGCCAACGTTGTGAGACTTTCAACTATCACTCCCATAAAAACTTACCAAAAACATGTGGAACAAGCCGTTTGAGTGAAAGATTGTCATATCCACCAGGAAATACTCCTATAGGTAGCACACTTTTTTCCCTGAAAGTTGGCAAATAAAGGCAGTTCTGAGCAAAGAGGTTTTCCTCGTTTATAGTACGACAAACCTGTTACGGAGAATCCCAGTAACAACTCGTCCAAGTGTGCCATCACCACCTACGATGTAGATTGCATCCGCTTCTTGTGTATCTACAGCGGCTGCCAGAGCCTCCAATTGTTTCTCGTTTTCGGCCTGTTAAAGGAAAATAATTTTAGAGGACGGCAATGAGAATCGGTATCTATGTGCACCTCCCACGGCCTCACAAAAGCAGTAAACTTCATGCTCAGAATACATCAAGGATTAGCTCTGAGCCATGACGGGAGACGGGCGTTAGGAACGGTTTTGATTTGATTTGATTTGATTTATCAACATGCGCAAGCACATGTCATTAAACTTTCCAAAAAAGAGCAATTCAACCATAATTGGAAAACCAAGTAAGCGTCGAAGGTCGCGAGACCACTATCAAAGATTCGCCGCGCTTGCGCAAACCATCGCAAATTCGGGGGAGACGGGCGTTAGGAACGATTTTGGGTAATCGATTTGCCGCACGCGGCTGTCGCGGAATACTCATTCGCCTTTATTACAGCTCTAGCATTCTTCATACAGCTCAATCGATATGCGTCATTATTTTATGCATAATTCTACTATTAGTACCTTTGTTCTTGTATTTCTTACCTACTGCTGCATCCTGCTACATTTCTTCGCGCGCGGCGCCCCTCTCACCGCGACGCGACCATTTCGTTCCTAAGGCACCACACCCAGCCCTGACTTGTTTCTCAGCCCAGAGCGGTAACCGGAAATAATGGTAGAATGATTTGGAGGGGGGGGGGGGGGGGGGGGGGGGGNGGGGGGGGGGGGGGGGGCTGGGGGGAGGAACAAGTCTTTCGATATGTGAATGTGCCCTACTCGCTAATGTTATCGTGTATTAGACTGTAAGGGATCGGAAATACGCAATTTGAATAAAATGAAAGGGGACTACTGACAGCCAATGCAATCGAAGGAGCTCCAAGAGGCCTAAGGAAAAGATATACTGAGCAGTGCTGAGGCCCACGATCCTGGTTCAAAATCAGCTATCGCAATTTCAATCCGTTGAAATGAAGAGGTTGATATAAGAATGGGATTGGACGCGACAAATCGCGCCAAAAACTATGATGTCAGAGTGTCTTGTAAAAGCCCCTGCTCAGCTGTAGATACGTGAACAGCGATGGCGATGGTATGAACACGTGCTGAGAAGATAAGAAAAATAATAAACCACCATTCTCAGAGGATGTGACCACGAGGAGGCCTAAAAAGATAGCAAAACGTGATCAAGAAAAACTTCAACTAAATCAAGATCATGGGAGGAGCCGCCAAGATCTCAAGGGACTAATGATGGGGAAAGGAAAAAGGAAAAATCGAAAAAGCACTAGTTTTGCTGCAGGCATTGATAGGGAAACTTAGTGTAAAGGCCACAGCATTTGGAACCAACATATTTTTACTTAAAAACTAACATTATATCACCTTGATTATATCCACTTGGAGACCTGCCAGATGCAACAATGGCAAAGCGTTTTTCGTGAAATCATCGTAACATGATCGCTCATTCGATGAGGTATTGGCAAGTACGAGAACGCGTCGAGGAGTCTCTTCGGCTATAGAAAGGAATAAATCAAAAATGATTGACTTCTGGAGGACCTGTCACGTTTTCTATCTTTATTTATCATCACATGGCACAGAGGATGTAACGAAGAGTTACAACAACAAGGCGTTGCGAATATCAGGTGGTGTTTTGGTTGCAAGGTATACAAAACAGCATGTTTAGTACGCTGAGCCGGAACTTGCAAAAAGTTTCTTCAACGTTTGGTACTGAGGCTTTGGTAACGCACACTACTTCTCCGTAGAGATGCGACTTTCCCTAACTCGAAAATATATTCGAAAAAAGGTAGCTTGCAGTGATTGCCTCGACAAACTGCCGTGCTCTCGCAGAAAAGTAACTACAGAAGAACATAAACATGACCTTTCAGAAGGTTTGACTTTGTTTTCACTGCATTGGTTTCATATGGACGCCATTCTACGCACAAATTTGGAGTGGTGATCATGATGATCAGCTCAACGGTAAGGTTTAACAATCCTTTTCGCTTACACACACTACTGATCAGACCACAAACGCGTGGTTCCCATCGAGCTTAAAATTAGGTTACCCTTATTCTTACTACTGATTTCGGGTGTCATGCTGAACCCTGTAGGCGCAACGAGATGAAATCGAGATAACTTGTAAGGATTATTCTAGGAAAAAGATCAAGTAGAAGGTCACGGATCTATAGAAGCACGTTACGACAGGACTTTCCCGCAACTTTCACTCAATTTTTTCTGTTGTGCATTCATTACAGGAACGAGAAACTCGCACAAAAAGTAATTCTTAGTCAGGCATTATTGCGGATTTTTTCGCGGTTTCTCTTCTCTCGATTGAATATTGTGTTAGCGATTCAATAGAAATAATCTTTTTGTTTTCCTTAACAAAAATATGTGTAGAAAGTCGTCTTCGTGAACTCCACGTTGTGCCCTGTTACTTCGAAAAAGGTTGGAAGGTGGCACAGTTATAAAGTGATCTCAGCGATCTTCCCAACTATGGAACAGTCAGCCGAAGCCAGACAAGAAGTGGAATCCTCTTCTACAGTCGCCCTCTCCACCAACAGAGGTTCCTGCCGATTACCACGTCAATTGCCCGTTGAAAAATTGGTAACAAACAGAACTCTCAACGAAGTGGATGGCTTAATGGAAGACGTCAATCCGTGGATTGCCTCCAAGAATCGGAACTTCATCGCCTGATGGATCCAACTGCCAAGCAATTGGCAAGCAGTGTTTTACGTAGAGGGTGGATATGTTCCGGAGTAGTTATTTGAACATGTCTTTGTCAAATATTTTATCGATTCTTCAAATAAAATTTGCAAAAGTAATCCGCAATAATTATGCATCAACCTAATAGAAATGTCTAAAAGGAAATGAGATCGTGCTTCGTGCTTTTAATTTGGAAGGGTTAATATTGAATACTCGTCAAAGAGAAATAGTGGAAAATCAATGACTCACGTGATATTGGCTCATCACCATACTTCTTTGCCTGAAGAGCGTATGCTCTGCGAATTTTGCTGTTCCTGAAAGGATTCATAAAAGAGCATACTCGAATGGGATTACATAAATACTGAAGCCAACAACGAAGCTGCAAACATCTCGCAAAACTTCCTTGCTTAATGGTGGACCCCCTTAGACCTGATAAGTTCCAGTCGCCCCAACTGCCTGGTTGTCTTAGGTCAAAACTCTTAATTAGAACGCTCACCCAAGGTGGACGGAGCAGAAGGGAATCGTATTGCTAATCGATTTCGAAGGCCAAAAATTCATTGGGACATCGAGCACATACATGACACAAGCTTTTCCCACCTTTATCGCTAGCCAACGGAAAGAGAGGAGATCTTTCAACGTCAAACAACCACCCTTGCACCCTTGCGGGATTATACCACGGACCAAAGGCAACTTAACCTTATTTTCACAGAATACAGCTACCAGGGAAACGAAAATCACTAGAAGAGCTGACTGAAAATGCATCGGCACCAAAAAAGTGGATCTTCTAAACCAACCCATAAAAGCAGACCAATTTTGTGTATATGGAAAAAGCACGTACATATGCCAAGTTGCTGCATAATTCCCGGCGACACAGACTAGAATTCCTGCCGCAATCGCCTTCTTTTTATGCTCGTATAAGGTCTTGCCTAGCTTCTGGACTTTCATCACAACACTCGCCATATCTGAAGCGAAATTAGGAAACATATTCAAACCCCCCGAAAATGCTACACATAAAACGATTAGGGAGTCTACGCTTATTCAGTAGGAGCAGGCCAATAAAGTAGACTGTCTCCAAAAGTTCATTCGAAAGTGAACGAAGTATGTTACGGCTTCTCCTTTAAATTCAGTTTTGTTACGCGAAAATTCAGAAGAATTTATTGAAATATCAAATTGGAACAAGACTAGAAACAACGTACGAGCATGAACTCGCTCAAAACTCTTACGAGAGTTAATGACATATATGTACAGAACAGTCAAGATGGAACTGCGGAACGGCTAGACAGATCGGAAGATGGCAGTCCAACACAACCGCTTGCTTACAGAAAAAGGGGTATGTTTACAAGAAAAGGGTGTCGAAAGTCACATAAGGAAGAGGGCTACTTTTGGGTTGAACACATTATTGGCTTCTCAAGGAAAATCATTTGCAATCCTCCTTCGCTTTCAAAAGCATTAGGCTCATACAAGTGGCAGCATCTTCCTGACTGTCGTGACCGCTATCTGTAAGCAAACAGGTTATTTCACTGCGATTAAGTCGAAAATTTGAGAGATTGATTCTTAAACCCATTGGTAAACCATTAACTCACCATCTTCTTGGATAATCTTCTGGAGATACTCACTAGCAAGATTCCGCAAGGCTCGTTTGAAAGGAAAACCTTGCCTGAAATGAACGTACATGAAAGCATCAGCATGGCTTCACCAGTAAAGAAAACCATCGCTGGTAATAGATTGGTAATTGTGGGACAACAAGTAATAAAAAGACAGTACACTGCGATCTTAAAATCATACAAGTTATCGTTGTGTAAAATCGGTCAAATCCCCTCTTCCCCCTCAATGTTAGCAAATTAAGTCTTCGAATTATTGCAAGTAGTAGAAATATCTAACGCCACAAAACCAAAGCATTAGTGTAACGAAAGTAGCCAACGGCTGGAGATAACGGGTAAAACACAATTCCAAGCGAAAATTTAAGCGACACGAGTTTCTTATCCCTACTTCACAAAGTTCTTGTCAAAAGGAAGAGTGACGAGTTTGGCACCATACGGCCTCTTGCATGTGTACTACTGCTACCTGACGAGAGCCTGTCGGCGGTTTTATAAGTTCATTCAAAAATTTGAACACTCATCCCAGGAAGGTAAACCTGATCCCATCTTTCACAAACAAACACAAAGTCAACATCCACGCGCAGTACTGAATGTAGAGAGCAAACTTGGTTGCTCAAGTGCTTAACAAAAAGTGAGAAATAAAAACAAACCAACAGCCAAGATACGATGAACTTTTGTTTCTGACAGAAACTCTTTGACTGAATGAAGCTCACCTGTGCTCATAAACGACCGCAGTGTCCACGACTTTTTCATGTCGAAGTCTCATTGCTTTCAAATCTGATTCCAAACTATGCCCAATCAATATACTTTGGTCGTTTACTAATTCAAAAAGACGATTTTGGGCCTGAAAAATGATCAATCATGATGCTACTCTATACCAAAGACTACGAAACCAACCTCGAAGAGATCAATAGTAGATGCTTCAACTTGGTTAGCGGTCAGACCGGAAAACCGTGTGTTGTAGTCGATAACTCTATTGTGGGGCTTAACTATGAGATCAAGCACTAATTTATTGTCCATATCTACAACAGATACACGAGCCAATTCTGGGCCCCATACACCATAGACCATTTCGCAATCCATGGCATATACCTGCAACAAGCAATATTAATAAAGCAGAAGCCGTACATTGACAGCTACACACACAAACCTTTTCATTACGTGGATCATCTTCTCCTCGTGAAGGAGGTGTGGGACAGAATTCGCGTAGAGCTTCTGCATTTAAGGTGTCAGAGACGTGGGCTTCTGCCACACAACATCCGGGCGTGTTGCGATCTGCACCGCAGCACGAAAAATACGACTCACCACGCATACCTGTCACAAGAAAAAGTGTATTAAGAAAGTAAGAACAAGAGAATTAAAGTCACTTAATTCATAAGAGCACAGATATTGAAATAGAAGAGAAAAAAGAAAGGTGAGCTTAAAGAAGTAGGGATGAAATAGACAAATGAAAAAAACGACTGTAAATTGAAAGTGATAGAAAAAGGGAAACAATAGAGTATATAGCATACCTCCCCGTCTCTGAAGCCCTTTGAAGTGGTAGATGCATTCAGCTGTAACTACATTGCCCTTAGGATCGAGCCGAAATTCTTTATGACATCGTGAACACAGGCGCTCGAGATCTACAATAACTTTGTTACGATCCGATTATTTAAGGCTCAATACATAGAACTCAACAACAGAAGTCTAACAAACACGAAAAATCACAATATTTGATATCCTTTTTTAGAATATTAATGCTGTTACCAGAAAACAATATTTGGTATCCTTTTTTAGAATATTAATGCTGTTACCAAAAAAAGAAACAAAAGGGGCTATGTAAATACACGACTGAGAGCTGTGGCAGATACGAAACAAAAACCAACTGGCAGCATTACTCACCGTCTTTTTCAGCCCATGATTTCTGTGATTTAGACTTCTCAAAGTGAGTCGGCGCTATTGTCACCAATTGCTCTTCGCCCTCTGCGGCTCGTGGATACCTTAACAGAGTATAGGTCTTCTCCATAGGTATGTTACAGGAGAAACTACTTTAATTTGGGATGTGACTGCACTCACCCGTTTCTGATCAGCTGTTCTTCTGTCATCAGATACTTTTCAATGAGTATGTTGTAGAACTCTTTCTCGGTGAGCGAACTAACACCCTGTTTTTCCGATTTCCGAACCCGAATTGATATGTCATTGATATGACGTCCAGCAAGAACAGCATCATGCGAGAGAGCTGAAAATCGAAATTGTTGGAATATCACTCTATGAACCAAGAAAGAAATGTAATGAGAAAGTTCCCTTAGCTATTATTGCCACAGTAACCTTCATTATAGTGACCAAATCTACGATGTTCAACGCAGGAAAGCTGGTCGGTGTAGCATGGTGGTCTTTGAAAAACCGGGTTGGGATTGTCACGGAAGCCCATTAGAGAGTTCGGATTTTTTCACACGTACGAATGCTGTCGCACACAACTGCCGTCGCTTTAAAAACCCAGTCATTTAGAATATGTTATACACCTTACCGTTCTATGGACTCAAGTGCACGCATAAAAACTACAATTGAAAGTATAGAGAGTTCGGATTCAGGGCATAGTGCGAGCAAATGAGATCTACCTATACACAGAGTATTACCATCGCATTATGTATATTCATTGAAATTCAACGAAATCTGGGATAGGGACCAGCATCATGTGAAGGAATCATGTGGAACTGTGTACGCACTTTAGCAATCTCCATAGCACTACACCAGTAGAATTTTTTATCGCTTGAATATGAAAGTCCTCTCCTGTTAAAGGGGGAAGATAGATGGAACCTTTACTTCTACCCCTTCACTTTTTCTTTCAGTAGAAAAGCCCAGACAAAAAGAAAAAATAGAATCCGCTCAGAAACAACCTAACAAAAGGTCCGTTCTTCTTACATTATGTTGGGCATGAACTCGAAGGTCATTACGAGCGTTTGAAGAACTAATATTGTGCGCTCCAGTGTTCTATCAACATCAAGGGTTTAAGCTACGACTGCGACTAAAGCTACACAGATACCAACATACAGTTCTTTAGAAAGAAATCGGGGAATAATTGGAAAAGGAGAGTTCTCAGTGAAGTAGAGGTGGTGGAAAAACTAAACGGCTATGGAAGCTCATCCAGCAATAGGAGTAAGCTAGAAACTAAACGAAGAACGCTAGAAATAACTATAGAATTTTTATTCCTACTTAGCCTATGGTTAGCGGGGAAAATGAGTAACAAATAATCATCGCCAATAAACATGGAAAGCACAAAAGTAAACTTCATGATGTGACAGTAAACTAAACAATCAGGACTCCAGCAACAAAGGAGTAGCCTGTACGATGAAATGACATAACACCTTGGAAGCTACAGTAGCGCTCAAAAGTCTTCGGTGAAATACTTTGACGCCCTTTCTTTCATAACTTTGCTGTTAGTAGACCAAATCGCGCAAAATTTGGATATGTTTAACTACAGTATATTTCATCCCACCCAACACTATTTGACTGAGAAGCTTCAATATCCACCGGTAGAGCAAGATGTTTGTTGCGGAAGCAGATTTTGCAAAAAGTAAAGTTGTTGACGTCTGCACTTATTCGCACCTTATGTGCGTTTTTCTCACCTATTGTGTTCGGCATTACCGCTCGTACACTTTAGACGTGAGAAAATAAAAGAGATTCTAGAAGGACAATCATCTGTATTTTCAGTCGATTTTATTTTCATACCCCTTGGAATATCTGAAACATGATCAGATTGCAGGTTAATAGTGGTAAATATTCACAATACACCAATGCTACACATATTGAAATTTCGCTTGATTATATCTGGTAGGAAAGGAGTTATAACTTAAAAGTACGGCAGAAGCACCATTTCACCGAAGACTTTTGAGCGCTACTGTATAAACACGAAATACTGCCCACAAGGTCATAACATTTCTATCGCTGAGGACAAAAAGGGGACATTTCAGCATGATAAGCAGCCCCCACAAAAACAACGTTGTTTTGCTTTCATGACCGCTCACGAACAGAATCGATGATTTGCGATCCTTTCAGTAGTAGACTTTTAGGCAAAAGTTACGGATCAAAAACTAAGGTGAGGAAACAAAAATTGGGCAAGCCTAGAAGGTTTCGATTGGAAAGTAGCAACACGACGGGNAAGTATACCGTTTCACTAACGCTTTCACTAAGAACGGCTCGATTATTTTTCTTGATAACTGCTCAAAATGCGCTGTTTGTAGTAAAGTTCAATTCATTGTAGAAATAGAAAGTAGAAAGTGAACAAAGCGGAGAATATACAGAAATAAATATATTTCTCGAAAACAAGTGTGTTTACCTGCTCTTGGTTTACTAAGACCAGTTGATTTTGCGTTGCGGATACGACCGATCAGGTTGATTGCTGCCACTTTGTAGCCTTGAGCATGTCGAACCTTATCAAGTATTGCTTTCTCCTCAATTTCAGACTGCAAAAAGACATTTCAGATACTGGATCAAATAGCCTCTCGAATGCTGTTTATGACTTTTCAGAAATTCCCTGCAATTAGCTTTAAACTTCTTTCTCTTTCTAGCGTATGCGTTAAATTAACGACAATCAATAAACAGTTAATAGCAAGCAAAACGAAAGGAAACGAGGGAAGCACAGTCTGTTTTAATTTGCTAGCTGGTAGATGCTGTTCAGAAAGCGGAAGTCTCATGTGTTTGCTGGGCTAAAGGCAAAACCTCGTTATACTTCGGCCGAAACTCGAACTTGTACTCTTGTTTTCCGGGCGCCGCGGGGAGAAACAGCAGTCACAAATAACAACAGGATGAAACAAGTACTTCAAAGGCTGATAGGTTCACGGTTCACTATCTGTTCATCAAATTTTGAGAGAGAGGTCCGAGATCCCATCGAGAAAATGAAGGCAAGAGAGGGCTAAGTCAAAGCAGAGAGCTCTCAG